GAACTCCCCCCTCCTTGCCCCGTGGACGTAGGCAACTTGCCGAACCACGTAAATTGTGTGTTCTTGTTGTGATTGTGGTTTGCATATTGTTTGTGGTTTAGTTCGAGTTATTGTTCGTGTTGCCCTAGAAAGCTTCCGCCGCGCACAACACAATATTACCCCTATTTTCCCCACACTTGCGGCTCAGAACCGTCCACACTTGCGGCTCAGAACCCCATGCAGACGGTTCTGAGAGAACCTGAACTCTAAAAGGGCTACATATATGATGAACCCAAGTACATTTGATCATTGTCTTCAGTAATTTACATGCTAGGGTCTTGAAGCATGATGGGATTTTTGAAAGGGACATTATGTCATCCAATGCTAAGCTATAGAAGAGGCCAATCGCATGATTAGTGCAGCGGTGTAAGGCCCCACCGCACTCCTATTGAGAAACGATCCATAACAAAAAAAACCTCGGGCTAGCCCAGCCACGAAGCGCGGCATGGATTAGTTCCATCCATAATAAGGTGTGGGGATACCTCGTGAGAAACAAAAAAAAAGTAAAAAAGGAAGATGCCTAACTAAGATTTGGTGAACCAAGAATGCATCACAGTCATCCAATAGTTGTTTTAATCATGTTATAAATGAAATTAAAGGTGATATTGAGACTAATATATAGTCTAATCTCCATTAGCATTACTCTGATTTACTTATTCTAATATATAGTCTAATCTCCATTAGCATTACTCTGATTTACTTATTCATACTCAGAAAAAGCAAAGCACAACAAATTACAACGTCCTGAACAGATATATAAGAAATAAGATGAAACTTGAACTCAATTAGCTCAGCTCATTTTTTGTGGCAGTTTATTAGTATGGTCTTGTTAATTAGGCTTAATTAGATTCGTTATTCACATATTTAAATGAAAGAAAATCAAGGAAAAGATTATGTGAATCATGATCACGAAGAAAAGTTGAGAGCTTAATTATGTGTTCCATCACTGTCTGCGGTTGAAATTTTGGATTGCTTCTGGTAATCAGCTTGAACACCTAGGAGCTTATGATCATTATATAATTAAAAAAAAGGTTACACTGGTACAAATGGTGGCATTCCAGACGGAATATTCCGTCTGGAATAGTTAAAAAACCGTCTGCAATAGCTATTCCAGACGGAATTCCGTCTGGAATAGCCGTCTAGTTAGTTTCCGTCTGGAAAAGTTTAATCCATACGGAAAATCCGTCTAGGATACATCCTAGACGGATTTTTCTCGACGGAAAAAAAATCCGTCTAGAATACATCCTAGACGGATTATTCTAGACGGAATTTCCGTCTAGAATAATACATTCTAGACGGAAAAAATTTCCGTCTAGAATGACTATTCTAGACGGAATTTCCGTCTAGAATAATTATTCTAGACGGAATTAATTTTTTTATTTTTTTCCATTAAAATGGCATCCTAGACGGAATTTGAGTATTCTGGACGGAATTTCCGTCTAGAATGCTATGCTACAGTGTTTTTTTTTTTTTTTTGCAGAATCTACTTTGGGTTTATGTACACAATATTGAATAACAAAAAATTATATTCATATCCAACACAATCTAATTATATTCCAATATCAAATCTCATTATATTCAAATAATACATTCAACAAAATAGTAGAGAGATACATAAATTGTTTACAAACTTTTACATAAATTATTTACAATGGCTATGACACTACGGAAGCTTCTTCAACTCCTTCCCTATACATTTACTCAAACCCTCTTCTTCACCTTCTTCCTCATCATCCTGAGTGTAGACTTTGGGGTATTTAAGGGCAAATAAATTGCTTGGAACTGACAAAAGAATGAGAAGCTAACTGTTAGTAAAAAATTTTCAAATGTAAAAAAGATTAAGAGTAAGATTGAAGGTAATGTAGCATAACAACAATAATAATGAGCATAACAACAATAATAATCACCTTATTAAGTTGCAACATATATTCATACAAGCTTTAGAGATCAAAGCTCATAGACAAGAACAAGAATACATATATTCATTCAAATAAAAATACAATGCAAATACAAAGTAATTAGTGAACACTGCATTAGTGAAGACAAAAGGAATGATTACCGAGGAAAATTGCGCAATGGATTCTCTCTCAACAATTCTGTTTCCCTGCTCAAACAAGTACAAGGCAGATTGATCATTGGAAAGATCGAACTTAGAACAAGATATTAATAAAGGATTGTCATTTGTTAATCCTTACTTCTTAAGATTTTTGCTATTTGCTTTTCTGAGATGCAATATAGAAGGTCTGGGGCTTTTGATGATCTCCACTGGTTGTTCACCTCTGCAATTTTTTTGTGGAAAGTTTAGGAGGTAAAACATGAATATGGAATGCAAGCGTCGTACACGATTTACAAGTACCCAGTTCTTTTACAAAAAATAAAACATCCTTGTTACATGCATAGAAGAATGAAAATAAATAACTCCGTGAAAGCTTAATTAAACTACTAGATTTGTCTTGGTGCCTTAGTTACTCTTAATAAATAGAATCCAACATCATTATCTTACGGAAAATGTTAAGACTTTCATGTAACCATCTTACGGAAAATAGTTGCTTCCCAAATTTGGATATCTCATGTCTTTATTCTATATCCATGAATAAAAATAAGTAAAAGAATTATGTAAGCATAAACTACTAGTTAGCTATTCCTAGGGTAAGTTTATTTGTCCGAGTCTTCTCTACCTATATGCATGATACTATTAAGTGTCAAATTATGTATGTAAACACAAGTGGTTGTTAGCATAACTCATCCAAATAGTAAATTTCAAAAATTATAAACTACACGATAAATTAAGAAATAATCCAAACATATCAAACTGATCCATAGTAAGGTAACTATACTGCCCCCTTCAGTAATGATATAGTGTTCATGAATTGTATGTTTAATAACTCCTTGTTCGTACTAATTTTGTAGCAAGTGTTGTTTGAGCTAACATTAACTTTTGAATTAATACTATATTGTATGGCTTATAAATAACTAACGTCAGGGGTCTAAGAGTGGCATTGAGCATAAAGTGCACATAAAAGAGTTTAATTAAGAACTAGAGCTAGATTCAGAGTACACGTGGACTATTATAAACCATGAAGTTTAATAAAGCTCATGATATGATCAGATGCTTTAAGCTGAGACATGAAGAAAGCAAAATTAAGAAAGAAGTAGAGATCATGTCCACATGCTCCAGTTACAGCTTTAAATGCTCAGCCATTAAAGGCTTAAAGCCTCTTCATTAGCTGTTACTTGAATAATTTGCCGAAAAATTATATTAATAGTTCTTATTATTGTCCTTTCTTTCTTTCATTTGGTCAAAGGTGCATCTAGATGGAAAATCATCCCAATTCGCTAATCTTGCTCATGTACAATTATTTACTACTTCGAGACTACAGTCCATCACATAATTATATTATCAGTAATTTATTTCTATGAAATGAATCGACATCCCCAATAAATAATCATATATCATTACTTATCAATCTCCATATGCCTTAGCAAATGCAGCTCTAAAAGATAAATAAAACTATAGTGAAGTTCTATAAATCATCTATCAATTTTTTTTCCTCTTTTTTTTGAAAATAGTATTCATTTTTCCTAACATTAAACCTCTATTTTCAGCTTTCCGACGTCGTGCATCGTTTTATCTCCACATCAATTTTGTCAAAATTCAACAATCTTCTCATTAATCCCAGTGATAACCAAATGCTCATTTATGAATATACAAACTTTTACTTGCCAATTTTCTCAAAAATAATAATAATATGCACAATACAATATCAAAAAAATGGCAAACACAATGCCCTAAAATTTTTGAAAACAAAATCACGAGTTCATATCACCTGCAGATCTTAATCGAATTGGAGTAAACTATTTGACAAAAATCAAGAAAGTGGCAAAGTTTTTGCATCAAATGGATTCAGATCTGGGGAGTTCATATCACCTGCAGATCTTAATCGAATTGGAGTAAACTATTTGACAAAAATCAAGAAAGTGGCAAAGTTTTTGCATCAAATGGATTCAGATCTGGGACCCGAGCAAATGAATTACCCGGAGATTGAGTGAATCGAGTGCCTAGCTTGGCGTAGGAGGAGAGCTTGACGTCGAGATCCCCTTCGATCTTTCGCGCCTCTTTCCTCAGTTCTTCCTACCCTGATTCTTGCAACTCCAAGCTTGTTGAATCCCCCATCAAAATTTGATCTTTCCTCAAAATTCTTCCCACCCACGATCCCTGCATACATACCCAAATACTTCAAATCCCCCACGTCCTTCAGCCTAATGACGACCACCGTTGTCCCCTCCTCGAGGATCTCTGCCGACGCCCGCAGCAGGTCCCCACGATCCCGATCTCCTCCTTCGACGATGACGTCACTTCCCAATAAGAGGAGGCGGGAGAGGTGGAGAAGGGAGAGGTGGTGGAGGCCATGGATGGAGAGGGAGTAGAGGGGGAGAAAGGGGTAGGGGGTGAGGTTGAGGAGGGAGAGGGAGAGGAGGGGGACGCGGTGGAGGGAGGAGTAGGAGGGGGGTTCCTGAAATGAAAACAAATTTGGGGATGAATTATTCGTTTTAGGGGGGAAAGGAAGGCATTCGCGGGTTTATTGGCTGAATTTTTAAAAAAAAAAACTGTTCTATGTATTCTAGACGGAAATTTCCGTCTAGGATACTATTCTAGACGAAAATTTCCGTCTAGAATACCCTATGTATTCTAGACGGAAATTTCCGTCTAGGATACTATTCTAGACGAAAATTTCCGTCTAGAATACCTGGTTATTTTAAAAAAATAAAAAATAAATAAAAAAACCGTCTAGAATAATCATTCTAGACGGAAAAATTCCGTCTAGAATGATTATTCTGGACGGAATAGTCTAGACGGAAATATTCCGTCTAGTTTAATACATTCTAGACGGAAAAAATTCCGTCTAGAATATTCCGTCTAGAATATTTGATTTTCTACTAGTGTTACCTACTCCTTTTTACTATAAAACCATCATCAAATTTAATTGATACACCATGAAAGTTACCCATAAGCTTTCTGCCCATGTTATTCTTCTTGCACGATCTAGATTTTGATGACATTATTTGAATATATGATGGAATATTCTCAAATATTCTCACCCCCTCAATTATCTCTACAATTAAGTCCAGAATAGCAAAAATAGAAAACTTCAAACGAGGTTACTAATGTATTCTTCAACTGTAGTGTACTTGACATCAGGATAGAGCTCGGAAGCTTCAACACCAAACGATGGATCAATCTTGATCCTAGTTGTCTCTCCCTTTATGAAAACAGAGTAATTGATTGCTGTCAAAAGATTGATTGGAAATGGGGCCCCTGTTGTGAAAACAAAAACAGGAAAAAAAATAAAAGATTTCAATGCCAACCAAAATTAGTTATAAACATTATTGTTTTTATATATTGTTTATGAGTTTTTTTCGTCATTGGTCCCTTACATCTTTCATAATTCGATGTTAGTCCTTCAAATAATTAAAATTGCTGTTTAGATCCCCAAGAGCCTAGAAGTTATTTCAAATTAGTCCCTAAGTTTTTTTGTCCAGTGTGCTAACTCATGTTGGGGTTTGTTGATTAATCTGATCTGATTAATTATTTTTTCACTATCACTTAATATTTAAGGTTTTGTATTAACTTAAACCAAATTAAGGTAGTATAACTGGAAACACCCATGCCAAAAGGTTAAACCCCCAAATCAAATACTAACCAATTACAATGACTAATTTGAAATATCCAGTAATAATTAAGGGACTAACTTATAATTTCAGTGATCTGAGACCAATTTCGAATTATGAAAGACTTAAGGGACCAATAGTTAAAATCATACTCACTTTCAAGCTTTTGTAAAACCTCCTCTTCTGTGAGATAGATTCTCTCCAGGATTTTCCCAGTCTTCTTCTCCCATAAAGAGACAAGTTCATTATGAGTGTAGATGTCTCCCGGAGGTCTTATGTACATAACTTTGTTGAGAGTTCTCGGATCATCTACTGCTCTAATTGTGTATGTTGCTACATCTTCTTCATTCACAAAAATTGCTGAAAAAAAAGGAAAAAAAAAGGTAAGGGTAATGTTTATTCTACATCACACACATGAATAAACAAATGGGTATGGAGCGTTACTGACATCACATATATCAATCTGTTACATTATAGTTGATGACTTGGATGAGCGCACGTTAGCAGCATACAAGTCAACAATATAGAAGCATGCAAAGTCTCATTTATAAATATAGGTGCATACACATATATATGCATACATACAACGACACAAACATTATAGATAGAGTATAAAATGACTAACTCCTCTTTAAAAGTATTGTTGGATTGTTAAATTACCCCTTAAAGTATCAAGTTGCCTATTTTCCTCCTTATACTATGTTTCATTGGCCAATGTCGTCCTTTCGTAAAAACACCATCAAATACTTAGAAATTTAGAAAATTTCAAACAACCCCTTAAAAAGTTTAATATTTATAAAAAATTAAAACAAAGCTAAAAAATTACAAAAAACACTGATAATTTAGAAAGTTATGAATAGGCCCACGAAAATTTGAAAATTACAAATGACCATCGAAAGTTTTGAAATTTGAAAAAACACCTCATAAATTGAAATATATAAAAAATCACCTAGAAATCCAAAATTTACCAACAATTCTCTGAATATATGAAAATTTAGAAATGAGAACCGGACAATTCAAAAAAGTTACAAAAACAGCTTGAATAAAATCTAAAAAATTACCAATAGCCCCCTAAATATTCATAAACAATTATATGACTTAGACTTTTCTAATCACTAAATCAACTATTAATTTGCAACCAATAAATTATTTGTAAAATAAGCAAGTTAATCCAGTTTTGTTCATACTTTATTATAAGACTCGAAACTATCCAAATACATCACGTGAGTCTGATGATACTTTTGGACAAGTTGAGCCGTACGTGTTGATGACAAATCTTAATAATATCTTATAGACCAGCTCATAACATATACGAATACTCAATGAAGTGAGAATATTACCTTTGGTATTCCCATCGCCATAAATGACAACTTTGTCCTTTGGAGGGCCGGTTGAATCCGCTTGGGCTAGAGTTGGTAGTGAGCACCCTGCAAAATAATTGGAGGACACGATGGTGTAAGGAGTCCCCTCAGCCTCAATCGCTCTTCTGATCTGAACCTTGGGTGCGAACGTCGATTCAGCAGGGCCGATAACGTCCACGCGATCATGATCAAACCCGAATTCCGAGGGAAGAAATCTCTGCACAATCGGTCAAGAATGAATGTACCAGTCTTAATTAAGTTTAATACACAGATCGTATAAAAACACACTCTATGAAACTTAAGAGGATGGAGGCATAACCTTGATATTACCAACTTCTTTGATGGCATCAACAATCTTGATCTGATCAGCCAATTGCACAGCACCGACTGCTGATATCACCACATCCACCTCCTTGATCGCCTTCACCAAGCTCTCATGATCATGTAGGTTCCCCTACAATCACATATATTTACAAATTACATCCTTAATAACAAATATATATTCTTGAGACCTATAGCACAATATTACACATGCAAGTGTCAGCACATGGCAAACTTTACAAATGTCGTAACACCGGAGGTTACATGATACACGAGGTTACTCCGACACCATGTTGAATTTCCTAATCATTACATCACAACTTTGTAAATTAGGGTGATGATCGAGGAGTATATATTTAGTTTTATATCCTAATCATTAAAATCACTCTTGCAACTTACCTTGAGAAGAGTGACCCCAGAGCTTACAAATCCTTCTAGGAGCTTCGCCTTCGCAGGGTCCGAGGAGGAAGTGTCCCTGACGAGGGCGAAAGTGGGGTGACCCAACTTGACGCTCGCACCGACGATGAACTTGCCGATGTATCCGGTGCCGCCGATGATCAAGATCTTGCTCGCCATTGATTGAAGACAAAAAGGAGGAGATATGAAGAAGACGGAGGTCTTAATGTAAAATCTTGAGATACAAACGATTCCTACGGATGAGCCGTATCCTCCGCTCGGTGCCCGGTCACCATCCGGTTAATTAATATTGATAATATCATATGGGGAGGTCGATGTAGTTAGTCGTACGTATTAGTTAATATAAAAATATTGAGAGATCCAAGATGAATTCTTTATACAATGATGAGGACAAAATGGAATCACAACTTGATATTAGATAAAAGATATCATCACTATAATTTCATTAAACTTTGTATAAAAAGCTCCGTCAGAGTTTCTCACGAGTGTGCCTCAGTCATCCCGCACGTGTCATGTCTTCCACGCGTGTCATCGGATCAGCAGGTGGTAGATAGGAACACGCAGTGAGTCTCATTTCCGCAGTTGGGGTACTTCTAATAATTTCTCAGTTAAATCTGCTTAAATTTTGTGCTGATGGTGGTTTGGGGTATAATTATGGTGATCTATGGAAGTTGCCTGTTCCACATATAGTCAAGATATATAGTTCTTCGGCTTGTGTTAAAGAAAAAGTTAAATAGTAGGGACATGTTAATCAGAAAAGGGGTTGTCCTTGAGCCTACTTGTATTCTGTGTGGCGTGGAAAATGAAAACCATGATCATATTTTCTTACAATATTGCTCTTTAATTTGTGTTTTCCATTTGGAGATCAATACTATATATACACAAGTTTTCCTTATACCTGTTGTTCTCAGTGATGTGTCTTCTTTGGATCAACCCTGGTCACCCTGGAGAAATTTTAAAAAGTTCCCGCTAGTCAAAGACTAGAACTAGAAAGGGAGGTTAATTTTACCATGGGATTTGAAATCTAATGTGGCGGCGATTTTCACCGAGTTTCCCTTCTTCAACCCTAGCAAACCAAAGATGGGAAAAAAACCGACGGAAAGCTTATATCCTACGTGGCCATGCACGAAAAATCTGATGTGGAGGCGGTGTAAAACTTTTCCACCGAGTTAAAAAACGAACCAAACAACCACTAATCATATATGTTAAGAACATGATATGAATTTAAAGAAAATCCTAGCTAATAGAATCTAAACAATGTATCAAAGTGAAATGTGATTAAAAACCAAGGCATCAAAGTATTAAAAAAAAATATTAGACTACCAAACTAATATAGGATCAATATTTAGGAGTATATCAAAGTGTTAAACGGGTACTTTGAGACTTCAAAGTGAAAAGTATGTAAGCTTTGGCCTAGCAAAGTGAAGATAAGCCACCAAATAGCCAAGAGGATTCTTTCCATTTAGTCCCTTTAATATCTTACATTTTGAATTAGTCCTTTAAATAATTAAAATTGCTATTAGGTCCCCTAATTCTTAGGCTAAATCATTGAAATTGCAATTAGGTACTCTAATTCTAAAGCTAATAGTCTTCCAAATCGAGAGTAGACATAGCAATTAGATGAATCTATTTAAAACAACTTATGAGAATTGAGGGGTTTATCAGGTTTATCCCTAGAAAGGGAATTGCTTCTAGCCCCCAAAATTTCAATGTGCAAAGACTCCACAGCGCAGACACGTGCGACACACGTGCCTTCATCACTGGTTTTTTGAGAAATCCCAATAGAACAAAAGAAAATTATTTTTATTTGTTGAAGAGCTTGAATACTTGACTGTAGAATTTCCTATGGCCCGTTGGTGATGATGCTAAATCTTATCAGATAGAGCTCGGAAGCTTCAACACCAAACGATGGATCAATCTTGATCCTAGTTGTCTCTCCCTTTATGAAAACAAAGTAATTGATTGCTGTCAAAAGATTGATTGGAAATGGAGCCTCCGTTGTGAAAACAAGAACAGGACCCAAAAAAAAAAAAGATTTCAATATCAATCAAAATTAGTTATAAACATCATTGTTTTTATACATTGTTTATGAACTTTTTTTGTCATTGGTCCCTCACATCTTTCATAATTAGATGTGAGTTCTTCAAATAATTGAAATTGCTGTTTAATCCCCAAGAGCCTAGTAGTTATTTCAAATTAGTCCCTCAGTTTTTTTGCCCAGTGTGCTAACTCATGTTGGTGTTCGTTGATTAATCTAATCCGATTAATTATTTTCTTAATCTCACTAAATATTTAAGGTTTTGTATTCACTTAAACCAAAGGTAGTATAAGCGGAAACACCCATGTCAAAAGGTAAACCCCCAAATCAAATGCTAACTAATTACAGTGATTAATTTGAAATATCCAGTACAAATTAAGGGACTAAATTATAATTTCAGTGATCTGAGACCAATTTCAAATTATGAAAGACTTAAGGGACCAATAGTTAAAATCATACTCACTTTCAAGCTTTTGTAAAACCTGCTCTTCTATGAGATAGATTCTCTCCTTGGGTTTCCTAGTCTTCTCCTCCCATAAAGAGATCGATGTTGGGCTCTGATACCACTTGTTGTGCGTAGCGGTCAAATTATTGTGCTTTGAGGAACCAAACCAAAACGTCGAGATAGAAGGCTAAACAATCCAAGATAACTGCACAAACACAAACAATCAGTTTTTACGTGGTTTGGCAAGTTGCCTACGTCCACGTTGCAAGAAGGGGATGAGGTTTTCACTAATAGAGAAGAAGAGTACAAACTTAGATTACAAAATCACACAAACTCACCAATTAATCTCACCAACAATGCTCTAATTCTCTCCAAACAAAACCTTAACCAATAGCTAAGAAAATACCTCTTTTCTGTGCTCCAAATATCCCCTTCGCTGCTTAGTTCTCTCTTCCAATCATTCCATATATATAGAAATCCTAAAACCAAAAGCATACTAGGAATTCTAAAATCAAAATCAAAACAGATTAGGAATCCTAATAACTTGTTACCAAAACAGATTTGGAATCATGTAACCAAAATAGATTAGGAATCCCAATAACCTGTTACCAAAACAAATTAGGAAATATATTAGGAACCTGCTATCCAACAATCGACAAGTTCATTATGAATGTAGATGTCTCCCGGAGGTCTTATATACAAAACTTTGTTGAGAGTTCTCCAATCATCTACTGCTCTAATTGTGTATGTTGATGTCTTCTTTATTCACAAAAAACGCTGAAAAAAAAGAAAAAAAAAGTAAGAGTAATGTTTAATACTTCACACACATGAATAAACAAATGGGTACAGAGCGTTACTGACATGACATATATCAATCTGTTACGTTATAACTGATTACTTGGATGAGTGCACATCAGCAGCATACTAGTCAACACTATAGAAGCACGCAAAGTCTCATCTACGTATATACGTGCATACACACATATATGCATACATACAAAGATACAAACATTATAAATTGAGTATAAAATGACTAACTCCCTTAGATAACTTTTTTTAATAGGAGAGGAAATGAGCTGGGAAAGCTACAATGCTAACCATCCTAAAATTGTGTTTGTTTATATTTTTTTAATAAGTGAGAGGAAGGATTGTGAGGGTTTTATTTTTTATTTTTTAAAAAGCAAATTTTCTACTTTCTTAACCAACCTAAAGTAGAGGGATTGAGAGGAGAATTGTTGGATTTTAAGTATCTTGCTCCCTATTCTTCCTATTTTTACGCTAAACAAACACAAAATAGTTCAATCACTCTTCATCCCTCCCCATCCACTTGTTGTCTGTCTAAACACAATTATTTACATTACACTAGTTTTTATGCACGTGCAATGCACGTGATTTAATACCATGATTAAGTATTTTTGGCAGTTTGTGCTCATTTTTTTCTTTAAACTCTTACATCCCAATTATTTTTTTATGTTTGTTTAAATGGGATACACCCAATTTAAATTTTCATGTTGATATTTGAATTAACAAAAAACAAATATAATTTAAAAATAATTTAAATTTTTATATTATTTTTGACCGATATGAAACTAAGCTTTATTTGAGAAAGTATAGCATTGCAAAGTGAAAAATATTAAAATAGTGTTATACAAGGAAGGTGAATATTTAAAACCAATATGACAAAATGATTGATTTAAAGTATGTTAAAACGATGCAAAAGAGAATATGAAGTTTATTCCTAATCATTGATAGACTTCATAAAAAATATAAATTAAAGATTAATGCTAACTCTAGTATACTTTTATATGATAAAAACATCCACATAATAATATAAAAGTATTAAAAAAATTCATGAAACTCCCTTCTAAAGATTCCTAATTTTACTCAAAATAATTAAACTATTCTATAAAATATTCAAAAAAATATTATTTTTTATTTCTTCTATTTTATTTTTTATTGAGTTAAGATCAATCCTTCTTTAGGTTTATCATTTATCATTTCTTAGGTAATTCTAGAGTATTGACTTCATCATCTACGTCAATTGTGACATCAGGCCAATTTTGTATTTTTATGCTATTATCTTTCCTGGGCTCGTTAATTTTTTATCATCTCATTTAACTTTACAAAGAAGTCAAATGTACTTATGATGTTCAACACAAACTGCTCAAACTATAGACTTTGATTTTTTTTTCTATTTCAATAAGAATAAATATTAATTTCATATATATATAATTCTTTGTGTTCCTAATTTATTACTTAAATAAATTAGAAGCTATCTCTTTATTTTCCTCTAAAATGAATTCTTCTGATGTGCATCCAATAAGAATTTCTGTTATTTCAATAATATTACCTTTGCTCTATCCCTGTCATTTTCCATAAAGATCTAAACTAAAAACATGCATATTCATTACCAATTTCTCTTAGATTATAATATTAATATTTAATTTGAAGAACACAGTATGGAATTTATGAATACTTACCAATTTTTCTTATGTCTTCCATGGAGATTTTTTCTTTGATTAGGATAAAGTTATTAAATTATTTTTTAATGTAACTCATTCAGTGCTTCATTAATAGATATGTCTTATGTTAATGCCAATTCAAGTGATTCATTGACGTTTTCTGAATTTTAGATTTATTTCCATCACTTTCCCATTTGCAATGGAAATAACTCAATTCTTTTAAAGTTATCTCTAAATATTCTAATAGTTTCTCCATATGTAATTCCTTGTATTCTTTTACCCTATAAATATTATTAACGTCAAAGATTAAAGTTTCTAAATTAAAATCAATTAATGCTAAGGTATAATATTATAGTGTTTTATCATTTCTATGGATTTAAACATCTATCAATTAATGTTACGAATG